CGGAATCTTAAGTGAACCGGGATCAAAAACGACGAGATCTCAAGTGAAGACTACTTTGGTAGTATTAATGAAGACTCAAACTCGTTCCACCCCCACCCCGTCTTTCTTTAACCGAGAAGTTATTCACCGTTGTTGATAAGCAGGTACTGATTTTTTGATTTTTTTATTTGTAGCCCCTATGACATCTACATTTAGACATCAGTAATAGTAATGAGATAAATGGGTTTTTAAACATAAAGTAAATCTACTGACTTGCCTAATCTCAGAATAAAACCTTCTTTCCTGTCTAGATTTCAGTGCGAGAGTCGGGCACCGCGCAGGGCAGGTTGACCATGGTTCCGCTGCAAGAGAGGCAAGGAGTTTAGAACTAATACTGAAACTCCTTGGAGAGAGGGCTTCTGCCAGTAGTGTCAGACGTGCGTTGCCGCCCACAGAGCAGCCTCCATTACTGTATAACCTCCTTGGACCTATCACATCTACGAGAAGGTTGAAGTAGGATTTCGTGCTGGGTGAAAATTTGTTTTTCAAGTTTGCAGAATAGAAGTCTCAAAGTGAAGTAATGCTCCATAAATCGGCCTCCTGTTTAATACTTTTGTCCAGTACAAGTAGAGTACAATATTAGTAATAATATAGTAAAGAACTCGATAAAAGTCCTTGTAACAAAACTCTAGATTAAAAAAGCTGTTATAAATCCAGGGCCAAGCTTCGCACACAGTTTACAGTCAGTCTGCCACTGACTCAAGAGATGACAGGCTAAAATGCCCAACAAAAACAGAGATAAAGTATGGCACGTCTCAGAATATCACCACATCTGACATCATAGGTAGAGAGGGGTGGGGGGAGATTGTAGATATCGAAGGGCTGGATACGTTATTTTGCAAGTGGGACGAAAACAGGTAAAATCGCAGCGGGGCGAAAGCGGGTAGAGTTACGAAGGTGTGGGGCAAAAACAGGTGCACCGAAGAAAATGGGAACCCTGAATATCATTAAAACCTGACGTGCTATAACCAAAGATTCTGTAGTAGTAGTAGTAGTAGTAGTAGAGAAACTGTGCTAAAACGTGACTGCGGGATACTGCATACCGCAAATCTGAAATCGGTGACGCAAGATTACTGTAAAACACACAAGGTATCTCAGGTGTGAGATAAAAAAGTTAAAGTTTGCTGTAGCGTCGGTAGTCTCTTGGTTGGGCTACTGGACTCGTAATCGCGGGGTGGTGGGTTCAGGATATCAGCACGTCTCGGTTCAGGCAAAGATTTTCTACACGATCTTTGGTTCATATCAGGCCTACGCTATCTTAGTACATTGTACGTTCAGGCCAATGCCTACTGTATACAGAAGGCGTTGATTCAGGTGTTCGAATTTACACGAATTTTCCACATTTCACCCAGGTGTGAGTGGGTATCCAGCCACAGACAGCGAAAGGTCTTGTCAGTATCATGTATGTCAGTGTTTTAGCGCCTCTAAAACGGCAGCTTGCACTACAAAAATAATAACAATTATGCTTCCTGGGAAGTTGGGATTGCCTCAGAATGCTATCTACAAGTCGTGTCGTTGGGGTAATAATAGTATAGATTGTAAAGCGCATAGAGTATGCTGTTGAGCAGGAATTTGCGCTAAACCTGCTAGTAGTATTTGTATCATTTTTTAAATCAATTTGTTGACCAATGTTTAACAGACAGACAGACAGACAGACAGACAGACAGACAGACAGACAGGCAGGCAGACAGACAGAC